CGTAGGGAGGGGTGACATCCACCTGCTCCGTGATGTGGCGGTTTCCCTTTCATTTGCATACATTGTACATACCAGGTTTAGAATCTAAACTATTAAGTTGAAAAGGCAGTAGAGATGATCGAATCCAGCTCCATTCGTATGCACAGTGAAGAGCCTCTCTCATGGCATTTCTGACTCTGTGCTGACAACAAATGTCATTGCGTAGATGACTCCAGTTATCAGGAGAGTCCTTCTGTGTTGCCCTGACATCTGTCCCTTTGAAACACCAGTGTCATGGTTTTTCAGTTTTAGCCTTTGAAACAATAACACAATAAGCTTCTTCCCTATTCCAGTAACAATCCTGCAAGTATTTGAGGAGAAAGACCATGTCTCCTTTTGCTATTTCCCTCAGTAATAAAGGTTGGTGGTGACCAGGGAATAGTATGACGGTATTTTGCAGAACAGCCTGACTGAGCTCTTGCTACACAGGACTAATCTTTTTATATGTATTTTTGTTAACAGATATTGATGAATGTACTCAGGTCCAACACCTCTGCTCCCAGGGACGCTGTGAAAACACTGAGGGAAGTTTCTTGTGTATTTGCCCAGCGGGATTTATGGCCAGTGAGGAGGGTACTAGCTGCATAGGTAATGGCAGTGTTCTTCCTGATGTATATGTCCTCAGATCTGGGGTTTCAGATCCCCCAGGACCCCATCAGTCTAATGCTTATTGAGACAACCCAGAATTTTTTATTAAACGCCTGTCACGACGTAGCAATCTGCTAGATACTGGGAGATATAAAAATAGATTTTTTTCCTCCAACATTTTTGAGAAAGAGTGTCCACTGTGTGCAAAGACAGGATGCATTAAATGTTACTTTTGGAAGCCACAGGAATCGAAACTCAATTCCAAAATGTGTCAAATAAAGGGGTGATAATAGAAATCAGTTACTTCATTATTAAATTTGAACGAAGCTGGGAGGTGGGAGAGGTCTAAAATAACATTCTGGAAAACAACACCTTGACAGTGTTTTCTGCTCCGCATAGACGTTGATGAGTGCCTGAGGCCGGATGTGTGTGGGGAAGGGCACTGCATCAACACGGAGGGGGCCTTCCGGTGTGAATACTGCGACAGTGGGTACCGCATGACCCGCGGAGGCCGTTGTGAGGGTGAGTGTGCTGAGAGAACAAGGGGACAGTGCCACCTATAGGTGCTGAGCGCAGGTCACTGTGACCTGCAGAGTCGGGTCCAGACCCCAGGGCTGGCAGGTGCTTCGCCTGGTTTTTGTTTCTTTCCACCACCCCAAGCGTGACACCAGCTTCTCCAGGCTCTTCTGGCTTTCTGGACTCACAGCCTCTTTGCCTCCCTTCAGTGGCTCTGTCTGGATTATTTTCCGTCTTCACGCTCTTATTATTTTTCACCTAATATCTGCCTACCCTGGTATTTGGAGTGAAATCACTTTAGAGCAATTAATTGCATAGTATCTTAGTACAAACCCAGAATTAATTGCAGTGTCTGGATCATTCATCTGGGAACATGGTGCAGGTGTAACCTGTGTTGATTTTTTTTTGTTTGTTTTTGACCTTTTCACATTGTCACATTCCTTTGTCTCAGCTGCTTTCTTTTACATGTGTTCTGGGACTTTCTTGCAGACTCCCTACAGAAGCACTGTCTGACCAACGCTGGGTCACATTCCAACTGTGCTAGATAAAATTTCTTCATTACTGACCACAGCAATGAGTTTGCTTTCATTATAAAAATGTTTAGAAAAATATTTTTAGCATGGTCAAAATTATTATCCATTTCATATTTCTGCTCACACCTATGTCTGAGTTACACGGGTTCATTTGGAAACCACTGTGGTACTTTTTTGTAATTATTTTCATGCAGAAATACATTGAGCTTCTGCTGAAAACCTGCCATGGAAAGATGAGGGTGAAGGACCAGGGGTCTCTGAGGGAGGGGACATGGACATGGGCCTGGTTCCTTGGGGTTCCCTGGCTGGCCGGCTGAGGATCAGCCTCCTGTCTGACAGGCTGGGCTTCTCTGGATGTTGGGAGGGGTAGACTCGGTTGGCACAGCCTGCTCTCAGCTGTCCCTTGGCGTCTGCATATTGGTTTTCTTCACAGCTCTAATGACCCAGGCCTGGAGGGAGAGCTAGTTAGACATTTTTTGGCAGCCTACACTCACCTCTCCTGCTGGCCTCTTGCCTTGGCCCCTTGGGTTCTAATCTAGAGAGAAGTGGGAGTGTTTTGTTACTGGATTTCTGATCGGCTAGGATCAGAATGGAGCCATGAACCCTCCCCCTATGGCCGAGGGCCTATGGGACAAGCACAGGTGCAGTGTCCCTACTCTCCTCTTCTAGGGAACTCTCCTCTGCTATATGTAGAGAGGCAGCATGGGAATGGGGGAGAACAAGGACTGTGGAATCAGCTCATGACCCTTACACTGAGTAACTACCTAACCCGGAGCCAGTTACTTAGCACCTTTGAAACTTAGCACATCACCAGCTTTTAGGGTTGCCATGAAAATACATACATGTGGCAGTAGCTTAGAGGATGCCTATTACCTTGTTAGTTTTACACACGTTTTAGTTTCTTTAAATCTCCTTCTTTCCTGACTCCTTTTCTGTTTGTATAGATCTTCTCAGTACATCTGTAGCTCTGGGAAGTACTTAAAAGAGGGGTGGGTTTTTTTGACAAGCATTTATGTGCAGAGCAGTGCCCCTTAAAGAAGTCAAATACTGATCCTTCATTTCTGCAAATAGTCCCAGAACAGGGAGGAAAGACATTTAAGTAATAAGGATAAGAAGGAGGAGGAAAGAAATTTGAAAATTATGTAATTAAATTGAAAGCTGATAGGGGAATATTCAATAATACTGAATATATGAAAAATATTTAGCAGAAATATTACCAGGGTTCCCTGAGTAAATAATATATAATTCTATCCCCATGAAAAGGCTTGAAAAGAAGGAACCAAGCAATGTGGCTGTGTTCTAATTTCATCATGGACCAGAACCAAAGGTCCCCGGGCTTCTGGCTCACTAAAGATTTTCTCAGCTGTCACTAACGAAGTTGCTTTCAAACAGCACCAGTCTCCAAGGAGTCTATTGTAGTTTACAGACATTATCTCATTCATCCTTATTTTATTCTGTTAAGGTATTATTAGGTTATTAAGTATGAAATGTCCAATTTCCTTAAGTATTTCTGACATTTCACTTTGACACTTCTTGTTTTATTTTTATGGTAAAGATACATCCTCAATCTTGCAAACACATGTGTTGGCTTGTGATTATCTTTCAAAAAATTTTTAGAGCAATTTTTATGAAACCGTGGATGAGTTAAAAATCCGTGTTATTTTTGAATGAGTTCCATCATGGAACCAATGCAGTGCAGACAGCTGAAAAGTGTTTGGGAAGGATATGGCTAGTAAACGTACAGTATGTAGATGGTTTGAGAAGTTCCATTCTGGTGCTTTTAATCTTGAAAATGAGCTGTGTGGGTGACCTGAAACCAAGGTGGATAATGATGAGCTGAAAGCTGTAGTGGAAGCGAATCCATCTCAACTGACATGTGAATTAGCAGCAAGGTTTGACGTTACTATTCCAGCAATATTGGACCATTTGAAACAAATTGGCAGGGTAAAGATGCTGGATAGATGGGTTCCTTGTGAATTAAATGAGTGTCAGAAGAGAGAAATCCTCTCGAAGCTTGCCTTTCTTTGCTGTCATGAGATAAAGGTGAACCATTTCTACATTGTATTGTTACGTGTGATGAGAAATGGATTCTTTTTGACAATTGCAAGTGTTCGGCACAATGGTTGGATATGGATGAAGTGCCAAAACACAGTCCAAAACTGAACATTCATCAAAAAAAAAGCTAATGGTGTCTGTTTGGTGGTCTAGCCCTGGTATTATCCACTACAACTTCATGAAACCTGATTAATCGATTACAGCAGATGTCTGCTGCAACCAGTTGGAGGAAATGATGAGGATGCTTGTGATTAAACAGCTGAGATTGGTCGATAGAGACAGGCCAATCCTCTTGCAAGAGAACACTTGACCACATCACACAAAACAACGCTGCTCAAACTACAGAGTCTGGACTTGGAAACTCTCTGTCATCCACCCTATTCACCAGACCTTGCACCAACTGACGACCACTTCTTCCAGGCTCTGGACCACTTCTTGCAAGGAAAAATATTCAATTCTCAACAAGTTGTGGAAAATACCTTTTGCGATTTCATCACCACTTGGTCTACAGGCTTCTTTGCTGCCAGCATAAGCAAGCTACCGTTAAGATGGCAAAACTGTGTCAATAGTTTAGGCACATACTTTGATTAATTGTACTGCTTCTTGTTTGAGATATAATAAATGATACTTTTGATTCAAAATCAGACATTTTGCATTTAACGACTTAATGCAAGGCAGGTAGTCCCTAATTTATAGATGAGGACAAAAGCAAACAGAGGTGAGAGCAGCTAGAAATTCAGGGATGTTAGCCTATTTTGCTCAACACTGTACCTTATTTATCAGACCAGCCAGTCCCATTTACTTTCTTTGATTTAACAGTTGTATTTCTATTTTAAAAAACAAAATCCCATCCACAGGAGAATGTAATGCTGTTTGGAAATGAAACTGGCAAGCATCATCTTTTTGTAGAACAAGAAGTCCCAGAACATCTGACCTAAAAAAACCACTGTGTGTCATTGTCTATTGGCAAGAACTTTTAAAGATAGAAAAAAAAAAATTGCAACACTGACCTAATGCTTATTTTGTTAATATCATCTTCAACTTTTTCACTTTAAGTATCTTTTCACAGTTGTCTAATGATATGTAATAGGAAATAATTTTTAAGAATTTACCAGAATGAAGATATCAAATACTCATGGGTATTTAGTGTACCCATTATATGTTTCTTTCATTTTTATCTTGTCCTAAGAATCTGTTTATATTTTAAGTATGATTAGGGGCCCTATATACATTTTGTATTGGGACACTTAGACATTAAGTCCACTCATTTGAATTCAAAATCCACCTCCAGAAAAACACTTATTTCAAGTGGGGCTAGTACTTAAGGTGTTACCACTCATTTTAAACTGTTGAATTCTCTCCTGTTGAATTCTCTCCTATATCTTACTTTTCCCCCATTTTCTTATTTTTATAAGTCTTAAAAATGCCCAAAGCTGCTGTAGTAGTTATCTCTGCCACAACCCCAACCATATTTAAGGTGACATTTTTTTCTCCCCAAATCCAAAAGGATGGTGATTAATAACTTCAGTTAGCTATGAATGTGAAAAGGTGTGTTTTTACTACAAAATATTACCATGTCGTATCCCTGTGTTTTCTGGAAAATCTTGGAAGTATGTGATGAGTTCACTGTCTCCTAATGTTCTTTTTCCGCCTCCAAGGAATTCCTGTCATGTAAAGGGTTTTAAATTATTCAAATCTGGGATGTTCTTGGGCCCACGAAAGCCAAAGTGAGGATTTCCCTAGAGTGTCCCATATCTGCAGAGAGAACCTCTAGCCAGGTGGATATACGGCTTCCTCACACCCATCCCCATTCCTTGTATTTCTTTCTGGCAAGCTGTGCTATTACTTGAAAGGTCTCATGTCCAAAAAGTGGCCCTAGAGGAGCTGTCAACTCCCAGGGTGGAGAGGCCTGGCCCTGCCAATTGAAGAATTGGGGCCGAGTTCTTCCTTAGAATGTATGTAAATGATTTAATCCAGGTATACCTGACCATGCATTACTGCTGTATGTTTACGTAGAGATGCAATATCTCACCTCACCCAGTTGTTTTTCCCACAGAAATGTAGACAGAACGTGCTTCCCCACCCCTAACCCCACCTTCATCACGAAAGTAAGATTTCACTTTGGTATTCACATAAAATGTTCATGACCTAGCTTTTGATTTTTCAGATATTGATGAATGTTTGACCCCAACTACTTGTCCAGATGAGCAGTGTGTGAATTCTCCTGGATCTTACCAGTGTGTTCCCTGCACAGAAGGATTCCGAGGCTGGAATGGACAGTGCCTTGGTAGGTACTATAGTGTTCTTATCAAAGATTGTTTCTAACACATGGGCTGTGTGTTAGTCAGGGTTCCCCAGAGGGACAGACCAATAGGAGACATATATGAATGAAAGGGAGTTTATTAGGGAGAATTGGCTCAGACAGTTACAAAGGCGAAGTCCGACGATAGTCCGTCACCAAGCTGGGGAATGAGAAAAGCAGGGTAGCATGGCTCAGTCCAGGTGTGAAAGCATCAAAACAAGGGGAGCTGATAATGAGCCCCCAGTCTGAAGCCAAAGGCTTGAGAGCGTTCGGGAGGCTGCTGGTCAAGTCCCAGAGTCTCCAAAGGTGGAAGAACCTGGAGTCTGTCGTCCAAGGGCAGGAGGAGAAAAGGCATCCCAATCCAGGAGGGGGAAGAGAGGTGCCAGGATCTTTTTAACAACCAGCTCTCCTTGGAACTAGTAGTGCAAGAACTCACTCATTACCACGAGGACAGCACCATTCTTGAGGGGTCCACCCCATGACCCAAACACCTCCAGTTAGGCCCCACCTCCAACACTGGGGAACAGATTTCAACATGACTTCCGGAGAGACAAATGTCCAAATTATAGCAGCCCATTTTTCTGATAGAGCAGTGTAATGCCAATGTGAGCCTCCTTTCAAAATGAATGAAATAAGATGTGATAAAATTATGTCATCCTAAGAAAAGTTCTAAGTAACTTTTAACCATGGAGAAAATAAGAAAATGACTTGGCATGAAGGATGTGAGAGTCTAGATGGGGCAAATATTAATAATTATGATTGAAACTATCCCTAATGTGGTAAATAACCAAAACCAAATAGAATAGTAAGCGCTACAGGGAGGAGAAAGATGGAGAGCAAAACACAAAAGAGAGAAGAGGCATAAGGAGAAGCTACCCCAGACAGAATTAGGGAACACACACACACACACACACACACACACACGCTTCCAACAGAAGTAGGGAAGGTGGTACTTTAGGCATTGAGGAAGATAAAATGATTTGCTTTGGTGCTAATTACCCATGTAGTTAGCTCTCCCCATTAATGGTTTTCCTTTGTGTATCTGTCTACCATTTGATCTTTTTTTTCTTAAAAGTTGAACTCTTTTCCACTCCATGCCAGAACTCTGAATATGTGAGTTAAACTTTTCATTCATTCGTTCCTTCTTTCCTTTCTTCTGCAAATGCTTAGTAACTTACTGTACATAACTAGTGTTGTACTAAGTTCTGGGATACACTGAGGGGCAAAAACAGGTATGACCGCTTCTTCATGGTGCTTCCTATCAGGTGGGGAAACTGACATGCACCCAAACATCTCACAGATAAATGCAAACTCACAAATGAGACCGGGGCTGGGAAGGAGTGCTGTGTGATGCTGTGAGAGCATATGGTAGAATGAGTTGTCCGTAGGAAAATTGAGTTGAGGTTTAACTGAGGAAAGGGGTGAGAAGGAGAACATTTGGGCCAGAGGAAAGAGCATATGTAAGTTTGTGGAAGGAGGAGGCAGGCTGTGTTCCTGGAGTTCAGAGAACAAGGGAAGATTTGCTGCAAGATGAGGGGACAAACTATGCAAGGCCCTCTGGGTCCTGTTAAAAACATTGGTCTTTATCCTGACAGCTCTGGGAAGACATTCGGGGGTTTTAGTGGGGTTGGCAGAAGCATTCCCAATGTTGAAGCGTTGTGCTCATCACCAGGCAGCATCACCTCTGTCACGGTGCAGGTGGCCCCCTGTCCTGAGCCCCCAGCCCATCCCCAAGAGTCTCTACCAGTGGAGCTGTGAGATGTAGATTTTTGAGGAAAAGAAGAAAAGATTTTTATTCATTAGTCATTTATTTAATAAGCAGTTTATGTAATAGATGCTAATCAGGGCATACATTTGGTTTTAATGTTCCTATTTGGCATAAATTTCATAGCTGCCTCTCAAGGTTTCATTTGTATTCTTATTTTCACGTACTGATGCATAATCCAGGAGCAGAGCCTGAACTCTACCTTCAATAACTACATTTGCAATAGTAGCATAAATGCAGCCCTGATTCATGAATTTACTACTGGAATGTAACTGACCAAATTGCTAAGTGATTGCTCTTCAATGTAAATAATACTAAATGAGTTCTTATACCTATATGTGCGCGTGTGTGTGTGTATGTGTGTGTGTGTGAGATAGATATATATATATTTTTTTTTATGAACATTTTGCTTCAGTTTAGTGACAGAAACACAGCACCTCATTTAGAAGTAGTTTTACTTTGCCAACCAGATGCATAGAATCATAAGTAGAAATATTAGGTCACTATTTTGCTCAACTCAGCTAAAGCCACACATTCAGCCCTTGTTCCAAGCAATAGCTTTCATTTTTGCATTGCTGAGGTCACGTATTTCCTATTTCTAAAAGTAGGCAGTATGCTGCTTCCTTCTGCTTTGGGTAGAATGTTAGGCTTTACATAATCTACAGATGAAGCCACTCCCCTGTGATTTAAGTGTGGTTCCATCCATTGTTCATATTGGACTTGCAGCTCTTCTACATTTCTCATGAGAGCTTTCACAGGTTATACTGAAATAGATTTTCCATCTTAATTTTTTATAGTACTAGAGCTTTCAAATGTTGAAAAGTTGACTGTAACAAAAAGCAGATATTGTAACATGCCTTTCTTCTCATACTGAGCCAATGGGTGGATTGGATTTTTCTGCTAAACTCTGACACTGCTGATGAATGCTCAGTGCTATTTTCTTGTGCCTTTATACATTTTAGTTCTCACCTTTGTACTTCTGGTACCCTAAAATACTTTTCAGAAGGTGCAGTTGTTACTTAAGTCTATTTTTGAGTTGAACTCATTGATAACACAACTTGATATGTATTTATTCATTCATTTAACAAATATATTGTGTGCTTACTATGCACCAGGTATTTTTCCAGAACACTGGGGATTGAGAGTGAACAAAATAAAGTCCCTCCCCTCGTTTTTGCCTATAAATAAACAGGTAAACAAGTAAAATATATTGTATGTCGGATGTGATGTGTGCCATAAAAAAAAAATAATAATAAAGACAGGGGAGTCTTTAGAGATTCCCGGGTAGTCCAGGGGGAAGTTATTATCAAGCTGTTCCTTGCTAGTCATTTGTTTCCATCTGTAACAGTTATCTGTGACCAGTTTATGGCTTTTTATATCCTTTTAGTCCGGATAATGTAGAATATATTGATGAGTTTTTCCCCCTCCATTTTTAGTTGAAAATTCTACGTGAGAACATTAAAGACTTCTTGAAAATTTTCTATAATCACACCATTTTGGAGAAAAGTCCTACATTTGGCATTTGTTAGTTGTCATCAGTAGAAATGATATTCTCTGTCTCACAAGGCTGCTGTGTTCCATAAATCTTAGTATCTTTTTTCTACAACTCTCCTTTCATTGACTGTATATTTTTACATTGTTATAATTAAACATGTATAGTGTTTTACATAATATAACTTAAACTTGGCATTATACTTATGGTTTTTTGTGGAACTCATCTATCTTCATGTTGATTTGACTTTTTTTTTTCTGTTAAGTGACTTCACTGAGAATTTCTATTTCAATCCCTATAATTTGCAGGGATTTTATACCAGTTATACTTTCTGCTTCTTTCACTGACTAAAGGATGAACTTGCTGAAACCATTAATGGTCTCTATATTCATGCCGTGTAAGCTGGATCTGACTGATTGATGCTTCTCCTTGATTTATGAATTGTAACAGAAATTATTGTGGGCAGCAACAGGTAAAACGTTAACAGGTGTCGTCTGGAGGACTATACTTTTTCCTAGTGTTTAGTTCAGGGCATACAATCCTTTCTTCTCAATAGTTTATTATCCACGTCAAATAGCTATCATTTCGGACTCTACCTAACACACATCATCCCTTAATGCTTTTTGGCAACTCTTGTTGGCTCTTCTGCTAATGTAGCTTCTTCTTTCAAGTTGTGGATTTCGTTCTTCTCCCGAGAGCCACTTTCATCATTCAACACTGTATTCCTTGGACTGACATTCAGCCTGGAGTGGTTGCCCGCCTGATCCCCGCCTTTAATGACTATTTCGTCACCCTGAGTTCTGGCCAGCTCCAACTAGCCGTTTCAACCGGGTCCTTTGCTAAGGGAAGCCAGCCCGTCAGGTACTCAATTTACACGTTTCTCTTGACTTGTGGAGAGCTGGCCTGATTCAAACCTGATGAGAGCCATCCCCCCAAGGGAACTCTCTAGGGTTTAATTAGTTGAAGATACATTTGGCGTCTTTGGCGTAGAGATCTTAGTTCCCTGAATTTAGACAGAGTTTGGGCTAAGTGACCTTTCTGAAGCTTAGTTCCATTATCTGTGAAGTGGGAATTGAAATACTGCTTCGTAGGGTTTATCGCCAGAATTAAGTAAGTGACATCAAGCACCTAGTAAGGTGTCTGACACGTGGTGGGACCCAGTAAATGTTATAACCCTTCTTCCTCCAACCATATGACCCTCCTCTTTACTACCGTTGTCCTGAAATACAAGAAATGCAGTAATAACTGATAACTGTTGAAGTGAGTTATGTGTCATTTTTCTTTATTTAACAGTATTCTCTTTGGCTTTCTTCAAGCGGATGCCATATAGTTTTTGACTCTCCCTATGTCATAGGAGCTTTCTCTTATGAATTTAAGTAATTTTGTGGTTTTCTTTCAACTTCTTAGCATTTTTACTTAGCTGGAATATACTTCTTGGGAATCATGATACTTCTCTGTGGGGTCATTCATGATTCCTAACAAATGTTCAGGCGTCTATAAGAATGCTGCTGTTTCCATTCTTTTACTTCATTGTCTTTGCTTACCTTCACAGCGCGGAGTATCTCACCCATTGGATGTGTGCAGCCAGCTCTTCTGGGGTTTACTTTATGGTCTTGCTTTGTAGTTGAGTCCATGACAGACCATGTGACCTGGGAACACAAATTTCTGAGATTTTATCAGAGTAATCTTTCTTTGTTAGTCTCTAATTAAGTTAAGGATGACTTTCTG